CTTTGGGCATAAAACCTATAAACCCTATGCCAGGTAAGCCGAGAGTTCCTCTTTCTGCTTTCTCTTCTTATCCTGACTCCATATGATATTTTTTTCATATAGACTAGTAATATCCCTGCTCTGAAAGGACCTATGCTTTTTAAAATTAAGGGAAATATATGAGATGTGTAGTTCCTTTTGTAATTTACTTATTTTCTTAGTAAGAGTTATTTTACCTTTTCAAATACTCTGTATGATTTTGCTGTGAGTTCATGAAGCGAATAGAGCTATTTACAGACCTGTTTTCAAACAACGTTCGACACTTCCCAGTTGCTCAAAATGGCGTTTCTACACATGCGGAAAAGACTCTTGGAGCAATCCCCTCTAGTGATTTTAAGGTAGGCCGCCCTGCTTCCTGCTTAACCCATCTCCATCAGCAATCTAGCCTTCTTCTCATTTTTTCGAATAATATTTATTTTTCTGCCCACACCACCTCCATCATTATTTTGCAGTCTGTGGGAGATACTATTGAATTACCTCGACCTGTCATATCAAAACCGTACAATTCACTTGAGCAAAACCCCTTCGTCAGATTGGCATCCACATTTCTCAGAGGTTTGTTTTGTAGTTCTCTGAAGTTTACTTTCTCATGCAGAAGAATTTTCTTTCAGGAGCGACCAGACAAGGAGACTCGGTAGGAAGCTCCAACAGCATCTTGTCCACACGTTCTAATCCAGGTTTATTAAAGTTAAAATATAGATTTATTTGTACGAATTGTTCCTCTTAAGAACCGCTAGACTTCGGCACTATACGAGATTTTTTGCCTGGAGCTAATAACAACTTTGGCCTGAAGAAAGGTCCAGGTGAGGAAATTTGCACGTTCGGTTCATACAATTCCTAAGGAAAAAACAAATTCACATTATTTACTACTTAGAAAATAATTTAATAATATTGCTGAAGATAACAATTTTAATTCTCATCTTGTTTTGTATGTAACCGCATCAGCTCTTAACTTTTTTCATTTCCTATCTTTGGTGTAGCATGAATGAGTTCTTATTATACAAACACTTAATACGTAGTTTTTATTTTATTTTGCTTAGAGCAACTTGGATCCTAATTCATCAAGATATGACAGTTGAGCGCGGAATCGTTTTTCGATTTTTGGCGAGTTTGGAAACC